ATTAATTATATGAGCAGGTCTCCACGATCCTTTGTTTCTTTGTTTTTTCCCTAGTGCATTTGTAAGCAAGCAACTCGGAGCTCGGTGTGCCTTTTGCCAGAGGAGAAGTATCGACTGCAGAAGGGAGATCTCTGAGCTGGTCATCAAGGCCTATTTGACTACAAGATCAGAGAACTCTGGTCCTTCCAGGCCTGACCTGAGCCCTGCCAGACACCAGAAGGTCACCACTGCAGGAGTGAGGGAGAGGTCGGTGACCGGAAGGAAAGTGGCATCAGGGAAAGAGCACGGAGCTTTCAATTAGTCAATTAGTCTTGAAGGCAAGACATCTCTGGCCCTTTGAACAAATTCCTTCCCATCTTTGAACCTTAGTTGCTTTCCATTAAAGTGGTGATAACAACTAACCCGCAGGGCTGCCGGGAGGATAAAATGAGCTGAATGTATGAGAAGCTTCCAGATGTGTGGCCCTGAACAGGTACTCAACAAACTATTCTCCCTAACCTCCCCACCGTCTGACATACCATCACCCCCAAAGGTCTGAACACCACGTCTTTTTCTGGACTAGTGTGTTTCTTCCCCCAAGCCCCCATTTTACTGGTGGCACCCCAAGCCCTTCACCCCAATTAGCCCTGCTACCCCTGACCCTCAGTAAAATCCATCTCCCCGGGTTCAGCTAGATCTTAGAAAGGAAAAATTATCTGATCGAATGGGTTCACAATCAAAAGCCATCAACTTCACAATCCTCTGGGCAGTAGGTGTATTTTTGAAAGCAGCTGCTCAATAACCAAAGTGAATCTCAAATCCACTGAGTATCAGGCATGATACCAAAATCAAAAGAAGTTCTGAGACAATATTCAGAGGAGCCATCAGGACTGGCAGATACAGCCCTGCCTCAGAGCCTACTATAAATTATCGGTGAGGATATTCATGCTTTTCACATCTTCTTTTTTTTCCTTTTTTTAAAATGTTCATTTATTATTGAGAGACACAGAGCATGAGCAGGGGTGGGGGGGGGGGCAGAGGGAGAGGGAGACACAGAATCCGAAGCAGGCTCCAGGCTCTGAGCTGTCAGCGCAGAGCCCAACGCGGGACTCGAACCCACAAACGCGAGGTCATGACCTGAGCTGAAGTCACACGCTTAACCGACTGAGCCACCCAGGCGCCCCCTTTTCACATCTTCTACTGTCCTTGTGAACACGACGTCTTGCTCCCAGTTTTGGTTGCCGGGCCCAGGAGTACGCTCTGGAAGAGATAGTGAGAGGGTGGTTGGCTGCTAAGACCTTATGGTCCGGGTCATTTGTAACTCCTGCATTTGTATGTCAGGTGCTGCCATAACTGCCCTTCCTCTGGGCGACCCTTCTCCATCTTTTAGGAAAGAGATATTCCAAATGATGCCACCATTTAAGTGTGGGTGGCCAAAGTCTCAAACCTCACCTTTCCCAGCCTGAGACAAGACGTCTCCTAATTTTGAAGGCAAACGTACTTAATATGTGCCTACATCCCCCACCAGGGCCTAGCATTGCATTTAGTACAGCCTCATTAGATGAATGAATGAGCGAGTGAATGAGTGAAGGAAATTCTAAAATCTGATAGATATTACTAGTACTCATTTCCAAGTCTCCTCTCCCTCAGGCACATGACAGGTCAAGCCTCCCTGACGTCAAATGGGACCGTGTGACTACAAGTACAAGGGATGTATGTCACTTCTGATCTGAACCACACATGTGTGCTCTCCGGGCAGGATCTCTCTCCTACGCAACCAGCCACATTATAGATGGCAAAGGCTCTGTGAGACTGAGTTCCTGGGTCGCTATGTGAAACAGATCACCCCTCTGCCCTCGCTGACCTGTGTTGGATATATTACACGAACAAGAGATATACCTTTGTTGAGGGATTTTTGTTCTGCAGCATAACCTAGCCTATCCTGACTAATACAGCCAATGACCACTCAAAGGTGAAGGCAAAGAGGCTGCATATGTTGCCAAGGTCATAAATGCTCCTAAGGAGATTTTCTTACCCCGAGTTTGGCTGCTGTTATAACATCAGTCTTGTTTGTCAGGCAGGACCTAAAGGTTAAGCGCCACTGGAGGAAGGCTACTCAATCTGCGGTTTCATTGGTTTGAGAGCAGAAAGGCGTGATGCCCTTCAGTTACAGTGAATTGGTTCCCCTGCTGCACTGCAGGTCAGAACAAGGCACATTACCAGGGGGATACGCAAGACACAGCGTGAAAACAATTTCACGCATCAAACTCACATCCTTGGAACCACATTCTCGATTGATCTGTGCATAAATGTTTAAAATGCACTTTATTTCATTTTTAGGTTTTGAAATGAGGAGGTGACATTTGTAAGAATGAGCACCATATGTGCCTTGTCAAGTCTGCGGTATGCTCAGTGGGGCAAACCCAGCCCTGCCGCATGGCATCATCTACTTAGCAACCTCCTGGGATACCTTGTTTTTCATCCACGGACAGCATTTGGCCAGAGACGACAGGCAGTAGGGACAGGGACAGGACACTTTTTGGCAGTGTCTTCAAATTTACCTCACCAAAAATTCCTATTGTTTCTGGTTCCTGTGTTGGCAGTGAATTTCTCTAGGATGGGTACCATATGTTCTAGCATTTCTAAAACCATCTCTCTTCTGAATATTCTCCTTGTCTTCACAATCCATCAAAATGCCCCAGAAATCCCAATATTTTAGTATACAAACTACATGCATCAGACAACTTCCTGGACTAGGACACAATACAAAAATTAATTTCAAGAGCCTGTGCCTCAGTTTGGGGTTGAAACTAATTCACTTACTTCACCTTCATACACCAACAAACTGTAGGAGGATGAGGTTTATTTCTGCCCGGGGGCAGAAATTTGATATATCTCAAATTGCCTTAATCTGGAATGTTCATTTCAGAACGTGACCTCACTGAGAGAATGGGGATGGGCCAAGGCAGACGGTGTTCTAAGAAGAGTGTAGAAGGACAGACTTTGCCTGGTGCAGAAGAAGAACCCAACTGAAGAGGGTGTGGCCATGAAATGCAAAGGATTAATGGGGTTGATTTTTGTTGAGCCTTTGTTCTATGCCAGGCACTACACACAACGTTCTCTGTGTGTTTAATTCCCTCATTGATCCTGAGCAGTAAAGCATATGCTCAGTTCACAGATGGGGAAAACACCAGTCAAGGTGGTTGATGATTTCCCCAGGATCACACAGCTGGGTTGTGACAAAGCCATGACATGAACCTCAGTCTCCTTCTAAAGGACTTACTGTCCCACTCTCTAAATTGGCCCGGGCCTCAAAACCAATTATTTAAAAATAATAGACATTCGTTTTTTATAGTTCCAGAGGCTGAGAAATCCAGGATAAAGTGCCAGCTGAGTCAGTGTCTGGTGAGGACCCTCTTCCTCGTTGATAGACAAAAGTCAATTTTTTTCTTACTTTTTAAAAAAAATTTTTATTTACTTTTGAGACAGAGACCGAGTGCAAGTGTGGGAGGGTCAGAGAGAGAGAGACAGACAGACAGACAGAATCCGAAGCAGGCTCCAGGCTCTGAGCTGCCAGCACAGAGCCCGATGCAGTCGAATCCACAAACGGTGAGATCATGACCTGAGGTGAAGTCATATGCTTAACCTACTGAGTCACCCAGGTGCCCCCCAAAATCAATTCTAATAGCAACCTAAGAATCCAATGACCAAACCTTGTTGGTCCAGGCTCTGAGATGGTAGACTTCAAAATTAGGAGATAAGAAAACAGTCCGGCAATTTCTCGAAAAATTAAACATAGCATATCTTATGATCCAGTAAGTCTATTTCTAGATATATGCCTAAAAGTATTGAAAGCAAAGACTCAAACAGATGTTTGAGTACACCAATGTTCATATCAGGATTATTCACAATGGCCAAAAGTAGAAACAAACCCAAGTGCCCTTTAAAGGATGAACGGAAGGGCGCCTGTGTGGCTTGGTCAGTTGAGCGTCCGACTCTTGATTTCGGTTCAGGTTGTGATCCTAGGGTCGTAGGATCAAGTCCTGTGTCAAGCTCCTCACTGAGCACGGAACCTGCTTGAGATTCTCTCTCTCTCTCTGAGAGAAAGAGAGAAAGAAAGAAAGAAAGAAAGAAAGAAAGAAAGAAAGAAAGAAGAAAGAAAAAAGAAAATTGTTACATCTGTACAATGGAATATCATTCAGCCTTTAAAAAAGGAAATTCTGACACATGGGTGAACCTCAAGGCTGTTGTGCTAAGTGAAAGAGCCCAGTCAAAAAAGGACAAAAAGGACAAATACCGTATGATTCCACTTACTTGAGGTACTTTGAGTAGTTAAATGCATAGAGGCAGAAAATAAAATGGTGGCCACCAGGGGCTGTGGGGAGGAGAGAATGGGGAGTTATTTAATGGTTACCAAGTTTCAGTTTGGGATGATGACAAAGTCCCGTGGATGGAAGGTGGTGATGGTTGCATGGCATTGTGAATATGCTTAATGCCACTGTGCTTTGCGCTTAAAGATGGTTAAAATGGAAACTTCTATGGTATATGTATTCTGCCACAATTTTCGAAAACCTCACAAGGACAGCAATGTAGACTTGGACCTTAAATATCCTCTTTTATTCATGAGCTCAAAGCACTTTCCCTACATTCTGCTATGTGGTCACGAATTCACAATGTCAGCTGGTAAAAGAAGCCAGTCCGAAGAAGTAAATACAGTTTCTGATGGTGGAGCCAGGCAGTTTTAGCCATTAGGGAAATCAACTGGTCTTACCAACTAGTTTTGCAGAAGGGGAAACTGAATGCTGAAACAACTTGCCTGAGGCCGCACAACAAGGGAAGTCAGCCTTCAGGTGGCCCAGGGCACCTAAAGCCTTAGCTGTCCCACCGGGTTCTATCCTCTAGAGCAAACTGAAGAAACGGAGAGAAAGAAACAGATGGAATGGCGTGCCCATGTGCACATTCACTGGTCCGAAGGTAAAAGCATGGAAACAGCTGAGACATGAGATTCTAGTACAACTAAATGCTTTAAACCAGTTTATTTTTCTGAAAGATTCTAGAACCAGACGTTTATTTCTTCCCACAATTACTACGCATTGACCTTTTTCATCCTTGTATGTGCACAAGAAATGAGCCCATGTCCTAGCTATAAAGCGTCAAAACAAATTCCTGCTAAACAAGGGAAACAAAAATTCAAAGGAAATAAAACTCACTCTGTTTTTCATGCAGCAAATATTTGCTGGGCACCTAGTTGATGCCAGAGACTATGTCATCCCAGGGAATACAGCTGAGGACAAGCCATGCTGAGTCCCCACCCTCGTGAAGTGCTGCTCTCAAACAAATACATGGGATGTCACACTAAGGAAAGCTTGAACAGTTAAGTGATTGCTTGGGAAATTACACAAAATTACTGCCGAGCGTCGTAAAGGCTACGATCAGAAGTCTGGATAGCTGAGGAGCTGTTAGGATGGTCTGTCAGGGTTCAGAGAAGCAGAGCTGCTAAGAAACAAAGACACGGGTGGTGTTATGGGCTGAATATTCGTGTCCCCTCTAAATTCATACATTGAAACCTACCCCCAGTGTGATGATATCAGGAGATAGGAGCTTTGGGAGGTGGTGCGGTCATGAGATGGAGCCTTCATGAATGGGACTAGTGCCCTTATACAAGAGACCCGAGATCACTCCCTCTCCTGTCCACCCGGTGAGGACACCGTGAGAAGATGGTCATCACTGAGGAACAGGGCTCTCAGCAGACACCAAATCTGCCAGAGCCTTGGTCTTGGACTTCCCAGTCTCCAGAACCATGAGAATAAGTTTCTCTGTCCTCATGCAATTGTGGGAGCTGGCTAAGCATCTAAGCAGCTTCTGTCATGGTGTTGTTTTTACATCCGAGGTTGGAGCAGCTGGAGAGGGACCTGAAGCGGGGGAGATAAAGAAGGTTCGTTGGTGCCCCTGTCCTCGGTGTAGGAGTCAGGCACAAGCCAACCTCCTTTGTCATGGACAAAAACATGCATCTGGCCCAGGAGTGGGAGAAGCTGAGAGGGACTCAGGCCAGCCCCTGCCTCCGGTCGAAGAGGTGGAGCTGGCAGGCGTGAGACCATGTGTGTCGGCCCCAGAAGGGCTGTGGTTTCGTCTCCACCCTCCTCACCTCCTACAAGAGCCTCTTCTGTGGCTCATCATGACTGGACACTTACAGGGAAGGGAGTTCCAGGAGACGCAGTGCCTCTTGTCAAGCTGACAGATTTGAAAGCCACGACAGATGGCGACCTCCCTCGGACTGGGGGCTGGGGGAGGCTTCCAGGAGGAAATGACATTGAACGATGAGGCCCCAGGGATGGTGCGCGGTGGCCACACGGAGTGTAGAGAAAGTTCCACGAAGTGTCAGAACCACAGGAAGAAACAGACACTGTCTGAGAAAGCTTGCATTTTTAAAAGGAAATGGGAACCAAAGGGCAAAAGATGTGTTCCCAAAGGATAAACTTGTTCTAAACCAACAATGTAGCACTTTATCAAGCATCTGTAATGGTGAATCGAAGTCAATAAAATGGTGGACAAGCGACTTTCCCAACCTGTGGGGTGATTCACAACTTCCTCCTCATCCCTCCCGGCCATCCTTCCTACTCCCAGTCCTCCTCACTGCCTGGGAAATCGCAGGGTGGGGTCCCAATCACACAGATACCTTCACTTGTCTTTGCAGACCTTACCCAGGAGTGAGGGCAGTCATGGGATAGAAATCCCGCAGACTGGAGTCAGAGTTTCCCACATCATGTTGGTACGGGTGACCAAAATGCCAGTGGTGTACAAGAGCCTCTGAATCCTCTCTGTATGCAGTCAGAGCCCAGTGCCCCATCCCAGCAAGGCTACACCATGTGGGAGACCCTGGGTCAGCATCTAACTAACTAACTAACTTTCAAACTATGTGTCCTCCAGATTAGTCCATTTCCTTAAGGGAAACCCAATGTCCTGGGGAAAAAAGCAGGCTTCCTGTCTTTCCAACCCAGTACAGCATCTTTCGCAAAGATGATCATTCTTAGGAAAACCACCCTAACAGGGCTGATCTCAAGACTTGCTGCTTCCAGCCTGACCTGGGGACACTGGTGGTGACCTGGGCCTGGGGTGGGGGATGAGGGGGAGGCTGCAGAAAGGATGCACACGGTTCTAAGCAGAAAGGCAGCCCCAGGTGCCAGGTCTTCCCCCCCCCCCCATCATGAGATAGCAGGTCCTTGGTTCCCTACTATGTCAGGGGTCCCCAAGACCACCCCGAGGGTGATTCAATGGAAGGATTCAAAGAAATCAGAAAAGTTGGTCTACTCGTGGTTATGTCTTATTATAGTGAAAGGATACAGGTGACAGCAAAGGAAAAAGCCTCAGTGGCCCAGGAGAGTTCCAGGAGTAAGGTTCTCACTGTCTGTCCCCAGTAGAGCCCTACAGACAGGATTTTATTCTTCCAGGAACAAGATGTGATAATATATACCAAATACTGTCAATCAGGGACATTTACATGAGACTTGGGGTCCAGGGATTTTGTTGGGGTTGGTCATATAGGCATGGGGTACCCTCATGACTGACCTTAGCTATTCAGATTCCAGCCTTTCCAAGCTGATGCAGCATGGCCAAGGCCCCCACCATAAATCACACTGTGAGCACAGACATCCCAGGGGAATAAACCCTGACGCTCGTCAGGCAAGATAGTCCATGGGCTTAGAGTTATCTCTCAGGAACCAGTCAAGGGCTAGACCTTTCTCTGGAATGTGCAGACAACCCAAGGCTACTGGGTCAACCTCGTACTGTTCATCCACGCATTTTGTTCTGAGAGGGAAGTACCATGGTCTGGCGTGGGCAACACTAGTCAGGAGGCTTCATGTCGCTAACCCGTTGGCGACCTCAGGTTAAGACCTATGGAGTCTCAATGCCTTCGTTTCCCTACCTGTGAGATGATAGTAGTAATGCCCAGTCTGAATTTCCTGAAAGGTGCTACCAGAATCAAATGACACAGTGGCTAAGATCGCCACTGAGCCTCAGGTACTTGCCAATGTCAGGGTTAACAAGGTGTAGGAGTCAATTAGTACTCTAGGGATTTCTGCCTATTTAACAGCCATTTTATCTTCCCCTAACAATTACAAAATGCTTACCATGTGCCAGGTACAATATGAAGCGCTTATGTGGATTATCAGATTTAATCCTCAAATAATTCTCTGAGGATGGCACTGTTATGGTCCTCATCTGGGAGGACTGAGGTTCAGTAAGGTTACCTAAGGTCGCCTCTCTTCTTAAATAGCAGAGACAGCTTTTAAACTGAACAAAGATAACCAGAGCCAGAAAAACAAAGCTACGTTCGTTGCTTGCCAGACAGGGGAAAGCTGCTTGGCTCACCCAAAGGTGTGTTCAGTGACTCCCTCTAAGTTAAAAGGGAAAGCCTGGACGAGGGTACAAAGAAAAGGCTTTGGCGCTGAGGAGGTGGGATTCTGAAGGGTGTCATTTGATTGTCAGAGGAGAAAATCGTGAAACATTTGGAACTGTTCATCGCTCTGGTTTTGAGAACAAAAGTGCTGTTGTCCAACAGGTCCAAATGGGTTGTGCAATTAAGACTGAGCAGGCTCAGGTCGCGGCCGGTGAGTTTGTAGGCACCTGAGAATTGGGGACATCCTTCTCTACAGAACTGAGGTGTCTGTCTCCAGACATCCCCATATCTGACCACCTTTGTTCAGTATCAGCTGCCTTCCCGCCAGCTCCCAGCCGCTCCCAGCTAAACATGTCAGAGAATTTGGACTGCGTTTAGAATGCACAATTTGGGGGCGCCTGGGTGGCTCAGCCGGTTGAGCGTCCGACTTCGGCTCAGGTCATGATCTTGCGGTCCGTGAGTCCGAGCCCCGCGTCGGGCTCTGTGCTGACAGCTCGGAGCCTGGAGCCTGTTTCGGATTCTGTGTCTCCCTCTCTCTCTGACCCTCCCCATTCAAAAAAAAAAAGAATGCACAATTTGTCAGTTTTTAACAGTATCATTGTTTTTTGTGGGTTCTTTTTTAATGTTTATTTATTTTGAGAGGAGAGACAGAGCACACGTGAGCAGGGAGTATCAGAGAGAGAGGAGAAAGAGAGAGAATCCCAAGCAGGCTCCAAGCTGTCAGCACAGAGCCTGACGCGGGGCTCGATAGTGACCTGAGCGGAAATCAAGAGTCGGACGCTCAATCGACTGAGCCACCCAGGCTCCCTAACGGTATCATCGTTTTTAAGGAAAACCTCATTTTTATTAACACACACACACACACACACACACACACAGAAGTAAGTGCACTTGATTTCTTCTTCTACTCATCTGCTGTTTCCTGTCCTCCAAGATAAATCTAGAAGAGGAGACAACTGTTCGGTTGCTACAAATCATAGGAACACCGTGGTGCAAAATAGCTCCATAAAAGACTTCAGACATGATCTATGTGTTAAGGCAGAATTTAGAGGAAAGGAAAAAAACAATCTTGGCAAGAAGCAGCAGAAGGCTTTTACACAGAGGCACATCTGAAACTCTGAAAAGAAAGAGTGAGAGGAAAGGATACCCACCATGGGGAGCAAGGCAGGCATCCAGTGTCGCCCTGTGCTGACACAGACAGGGTCCTGCAGACCGGAAGGTCAGGAGCCAGGCCTCTAAAAGGAGCCGCGACCACAGAATCCACACACCCAGGAATATTTGGAAGGCGTCCAGGAGGTGGAGATCGCTATCAGGAAAAGAATCTGCTTTTGAGATGAGAGGGCTCAGAAGGGCCCCAAATGTCCAGGGAAAATAAGGATGGTTTCAAACAGTCCATTTGCAATAAGCCACTTTGGGGATTACCTGGAATGTTTAATAGTGGTAGTAGTAGTTTAATTCCAGAAAGATTAATGTGTCCTCAGAATAAGGATTGCTTACAAAAAATTGGGATAGAATTCTTTTTTTTTTTTTTCTTAAGTTTATTTATCTATTTTTGAGAGAGAGAGAGCACAAGCAGGGGAGGGGCAAAGAGAAAGGGAGACACAGAATCGAAAGCAGTTTGCAGGTTCTGAGCTGTCAGCACAGAGCCTGACCCGGGGCTCAAACTCATGAACCATGAGATGAACCTGAGCCGAAGTCGGATGCTCTACTGACTGAGACACCCAGGCGCCCCGGTATAGGATTCTAAATCTATTGTTCCTCACCCCTTCTCTGCCCCCATAGCCCGGCCTCCATTCATGGAAATGTTCACAAAGAGACCCTCTTTCATAGTCCAAAGAAGACCTACGTGCTGAGGAATTTGAGTTTCTGACTGAACGTAGCCTATTTTTCTTGCCCCCGTGACCTAGAACCTGGCCTTCTGGGAGGCGTTTCATCTTCTGTGACAGACGATGCCTGATCCAAGGGTAACAGCGCGCAGCCCTGCAATTCACTCCTGCCACTAACTGTCCCGAGTTAGCACAGACCCCAAAGGTAAAGGGCACAGTCTCCATCAACGTTGCCCTCACTTCAGATACCAGCTGCTAGTTTGGGGGTCTCAGGCCACTTGCACTTCTGACCAAGTGGCTATGAATTTGGGGTTCCCATGACCTCTAATAATTCACTAGAATGATTCTAGAGCTCAGAAAGTGCTATATTTATGATTATAGTTCTACTGTAAAAGATACAAATCAGGAATGGCCCCATGAGGAGACCCATAGGGGGAGGTTTGGAAGGGTCCTGAACCAGGAGTTCCACGCCCTCTCCCTGGGGAATCAAGACTCATCACCCTCCTAGTATATCAGTAATGCTCATCAACCTTGGGACAGCTTTGGGTATCCGGTGTTTGGTGGGGGGGAGGCAGATTTTATTACATAGGCAAGATTGAATCATTGCCCACATGAGTGAACTCAAACTTTAGTCCCCCACCCCAGAAGTGGGAAGGTCAGGCTGATACCACAACAGGCCCCATCCTGAGTAACCTCATTAGCATTAACTCAGGTGTGGTCCTTGGGTCCCACCATGAATAACAAAGATGCTCCTAGCATTCAGAAAATTCCAAGTTCAGAACCTGAGACAAAGAGCAGAAAAATGCTTTATTATACAGCACAATGACAACAACTGACATTAAATGAGGGTTTTCTAGGTGCTAGGCTCTGCGCTGAGTACTTTCTATACATCTCCTTTGATTCTTAAAATAATCGTATGTGCCCGATTTATTACTATCCCCATTTTACAGATGACAAACTAAGGCACGGAGATGGGAAGTAACTTGCTTAAATTTGCATAGCTAGTAAGCGGCAGAGCAGGGGTTTGGACTCATACTTGCCATCTGGGCTACTATGTCCCTCGAGAGCTGATTATAAAAAGAGAGAGGCCAAGAGAGTGGCCATCATCACCAGAGAAGAATTTGGATATAATGCAAAGACCCAGACTGACTTTGGATTCTTGGAGGAAAAATAACCTAGGCTTCGCACTTGAAAGAATTCAGTCTTGGGGTACCTGGGTGGCTCGGTTGAGTGTCCAACTCTTAATTTTGGCTCAGGTCATGCTCTCACAGTTTTCAGGATCAAGGTGACAGCACGGAGCCTGCTTGGGATTCTCTTTCCCTCTCTCTCTGCCCCTCCCCCACTTGCGCGTGTGCACTCTCGCTGTCTCTCAAAATAAATAAATAAACTTAAAAAAAAAAAAAGAATGAATTCAGTCTTCAGAGTCAGAAAAGCTGCTTTAAATTCCAGCTCTACCAACTACCAGTTGAGAAAGAAGCATTAAAATCTGATCTGAAACCTTCATCAATTAAACGGAGAGTCTAATAACGTTTACCTTACAAGTTTGGCCCGAGGAATAAAGGAGGCCATTTATTTGGAAGTGAAGACCTGTGGAAGGCTTTCTTTTTTCTTTTCCACTCAGTCTGTTCCTGGTCGTTCACCCACAGAATTTATCTTCTCTCCACCCGATCTATTTATTCTTTGTGCCTCACATGATACCCTCTCTGATTGCCTTGGATTACATTTTTGTTCCCTTAGCTCAATTATTTTTATACTGTTCACATGGACTATTACTTCAGCTGCAGAGAACAGCAGCTTTAAAAACATTTATTAAGCACATGATCATACATGGCGTCGCCCTTGAAACAGTCCAGGCCCGGGTGGCACGGTGGGAAAAGTCAGGGGCACGTAGTCAGTAGACTTGGGTCTGGTCCCACTTGCTTCCGAGTAGCTTGTCACCTTAGAAAAGACACTTAGCCTCTCTGAGTGTCAAACTACTCATTTATAAAGTATCACCAATAGTTGTGCCCTTCTTGCCAACCTCACTGGTGGTGGGGGTAGGGGCTTGTATGAGAAAATGTATGTGGAGTGTTTTGTTTTTGGTGTTTTTTTTAATTTTTTTAATGTTTATTTATTTTTGACAGAGAGAGAGAGAGACAGAGCATGAGTGGGGGAGGGACAGAGAGAGAGGGAGACACAGAATCCAAAGCAGGCTCCAGGCTCTGAGCTGTCAGCACAGGGCCCGACACGGGGCTCAAACCCACAGACTGCAAGATCATGACCTGAGCCAAAGTCTGACGCTCAACCGACTGAGCCACCCAGGCGCCCCAGTGTGGAGTCTTTTGAAACCAACAAACCTTTGTATAAATCAAGAGAATAATTATGTAAGACAGCAACTGGAGCAGACATTGAATCCCACATAAAAGGATGTACAAAAATCCTAGGACAATCCCATATAAGGAGCATACAGAAAAACGGCACAAGACATGCACGCAAATAAACGCATGTTCAAACCAAAGTCGGGTTCGTTTTTGGAAGGCAGTTGGCAGGGAGGGCTGGAGAAGAGGTAGATGAAAGCCACATACATGGCTCACTTCACCTCCTTAAAATTTCCAAACACCGTTTCCTCACAGGACATAAAAGAGATGAATTGAGTGTCTATACGTATATGTATATGTATATGTATATGTATATGTATATGTATATGTATATGTATTTAGAGATTTTACTTATATTTTTATTTTTTAGAGAGAGAGAGTATGAGTAGAGGAGAGGGGCAGAGGGAGGGAGAGAGAGAATCTTAAGCAATCTCCATGCTCAGTCCGGAGCCCGACTCAGGGCTCAATCCCACGATCCAGGGATCATTACCTGCGCTGAAATCAAGAGTCAGATGCTCAACTAACTGAGCCACCGAGGGGTCCCAAGAGTCTATAATAAAAAAAAAAAAAAAAAAAAAAAAAAAAAGGAGTTTTCGGTGACTCCTAAGTTGGTGCTAAAGTTGGGGTCAAATGCCTCATAAGAAACCTTGCTTTGGGGCGCCTGGGTGGCTCAGTCAGTTGAGCGTCCGACTTCGGCTCAGGTCATGATCTCGCAGTTCGTGGGTTCGAGCCCCACATCGGGCTCTGTGCTGACAGCTCGGAGCCTGGAGCCTGCTTCGGATTCTGTGTCTCCCCCTCTCTGACCCTTCCCCACTCATGCTCTGTCTCTCAAAGATGAATAAACGTTAAAAAAAATTTTTTTTTAAAGGAAATCTTGGGGCGCCTCGGTGGCACAGTCGGTTAAGCGTCCGACTTCAGCCAGGTCACGATCTCGCGGTCCGTGAGTTTGAACCCCGTGTCAGGCTCTGGGCTGATGGCTCAGAGCCTGGAGCCTGTTTCCGATTCTGTGTCTCCCTCTCTCTCTGCCCCTCCCCCGTTCATGCTCTGTCTCTCTCTGTCCCAAAAATAAATAAACATTGAAAAAAAAAATTTAAAGGAAATCTTGCTTTGATTAGTTTTGCTCATTCATTTAAACAATGTTTATTCAGTGTCCTTGGGTGGCAGGCACTTTTCTATACCATTAGGATATGCCAGCAAATGTAACTGACAAAACTCCCTGCCTTCGGAGGGCAGGTGCACTTTCACTGGGGGCTGGGGAAGAGGCAGGGAGACAGACCATATGCAGTAGACCCAGTGGACAAAGAAGCTGTGGAAAAAATGAGGACTTGGTCAATGCCACAGAGAAAAGGAAAGCACAACTTGAAGGGGATTAGAAGGGCAGGGTGGGGCAGCTGCCATGTCCAATCCTAGGGCCATCTTGAGCATGTGACTTAACCTCAACGGGTCCCCCCTGCCTTTTCCATGACTTAGAACGAACACCTGCCCCACAAGGTCACAGCCATGGTGGAATGCGGTCGTGCTGTTCACATACTCAGGACACAGGAACACCCACAGGGTTGTCATGGGCACCATTTTTTACTTGAGGTTTGCACACATGGTAAGGAGAAACCCATCTGCACAGGAAGAGAAAGTTAGTAACCAGGTGACTTATGGAGTTTCTGTTGTCTCTCCCACTGGTACCACTGAGCCTAATCTACTTTAAGTGGGAGCAAAGGACATTTTGATCCACGGTAATAGAAAAGGGTTTGAAAGAAGATCCCCTTGAGATGGAAAACATAGAGACTGACTCCTGTTCTTGGACTCCTATGCTGTGGAGGAGAGGAAATGAGGAGGGGAAGAGAGCACAGGAGCCCAGAGGGCAAGACGCGGAGGAGAATACCCGTAGCAGATGGAAGGGTGGAAGGCGTTGGCCCAGAGTATTAGCTGGCTTCCCGACTTTCTTTCAAATGCTCTGACCAAAGAGATGCTCAGCAATGGTTTGTTCAATGAAATGCCTCACACAGACCAAGTTTACGCCGCAAAATTGAGACTTCCAGTCACAGGGAAGGACTGAGAGAGCCTCGGTGAAGATCGAGGGCCCTGTTCAGTCTCGTGGACATTATGGGGAGGAGGAGAACCCGCTTACGTTGGAGAAATGAGTGGGGGCTACAGCCTGGGAGAAATAACGCGGAATTAATCATTCGTGTTTGGTCTGTGATGATCAAAAACAGAAACAACCTACCGGGCAGGCCAGTGTATACGTCACAACACCCCATCTGCCGTAGGCTACGTTGGTTTTCATTCCACAGCTTTTTAGGCTTAATGCTAACATGCTGGGTTTCTTTTTTTCAGTTCTCTGTTTACTTCTCACAGATATCATGGGGAACTCATCAATTGAACATTGGCATAGAAATACATTTCTATTTATTTGTATAACAAATTTTATACGTGCACTTCAACTGCGTCTCTAACAACTAGGCTTTTATGGCTTCCCTTGGTAACTTCCAGGCCTGCGAGGGGGATCAGATGTATCAGACGCCCTGGGAGGCACCAATTCCATGGGTCTGCAGCTGCTAAGGAACTACTGGGTGTAAATGCAAGCTTGTTCTAACTGCAGGTTACTGATGGCGGTGTGGTGGCTTCCCAGACGGCAATCCACTGGGTCAGGGGAGCCTCTCCAACTCGATCTGTAAGGCAACCGCTCCCCATCTTTTCAAGCATGGGACCCAACCCCGCCAGGCCTTCCTGCCTTTTCCAGAAAATGCAAAAGACTTGTCATCACATCAAAAAAACTTTGTGGGTCTCACGAATAGTACTTGCATCGTTTATTTTCAAATACTTATGGGCAAGAAGCTACGAGAAGTCTGGGAACAGTTTAAAGTTAATACGTGTTTCGTAGATTGCAGCAGGAGCCTCTTACATTGTGTTCAGCCTACAGACAGTGCTTGGTGGGCCTAGTGGCCACGTGATGAACTGTACAGATGTTTCAGACACAAGCTTTGTGGAAAACAACATGGGGATTATTTTAAAAGAACTAATGGCCGGGGGGGGAGATGGGGGGTGCCTGGGTGGCTCAGTCGGTTAAGCATCCGACTTCAGCTCAGGTCATGATCTCCCGGTTCGTGGGTTCGAGCCCCGCGTCGGGCTCTGTGCTGACAGCTCAGAGCCTGGAGCCTGCTTCGGATTCTGTACCTGTCTCTCTGCCCCTCCCCTGCTCGCTCTCTCGCTCTCTCGCTCTCTCTCTCTCTCTCTCTCTCAAAAATAGATAAACAGGGGCGCCTGGGTGGCGCAGTCGGTTAAGCATCCGACTTCAGCCAGGTCACGATCTCGCGGTCCGGGAGTTCGAGCCCCGCGTCAGGCTCTGGGCTGATGGCTCAGAGCCTGGAGCCTGTTTCCGATTCTGTGTCTCCCTCTCTCTCTGCCCCTCCCCCGTTCATGCTCTGTCTCTCTCTGTCCCAAAAATAAAATAAACGTTGGGGAAAAAAAAAAAAAAACCTTTAAAAAAAAACCAAAAAAACAAAAATAGATAAACATTTTAAAAAAATTTAAAGAACTAACAGAATACCATTTGCCAATAACCCAAAGCAGGGGAAAACCCTGGGACATATGGAAAACTCAAAATATCCAGCTGCAGTCAGATTCCGGCATTAACCCTGTCCTGGTGCCGATCCTGAGCTACTGTTTCCTGGTTGGGCTCTTTCCTTTGTGCCCCCAACCTGACCTGTCTCTCTACTTGGCCTGCAGGGACATTCATGCTGATGTGTTCACTGCAGAGGACACTCAGTTGCCTTGCATTTCTCAGTGTGCCGTTCTGAAAGTGTAGGTTTGCCATCCAACTTAGCAGAACAAGATGATCTCAACCGTCCTCACTCTGGCTTCCTCTCTGTTCCTGCACATCCAGATCCACAAAGCCGGGACTCGCAGGCAACGCCCACAGGGACAGGCCCTGGCGGCAAGAGGGAGAGGTTTATAAACCACAGGGCTTTAGACTTTGCGCGGCCTGGAAGATTCTCCTCCATCTTCAGTGGCCTCAGGGCTCATATCCTGTTCTCACTACGAATATGGGCAGCGTGTCGAAGCACCTGTCCCTGCTCATGAGCTTAACCCAGCCACGGAGTCAGAGTTTGGTCACCTCCTGCAGGCCGCCCTCCTTATAGGTAGGTGGCTGGCTCAGCCCTGGAGAGAGAGGGTCATCCTTGAGAAATGCGGGTACCATCATGAGGATCCGGGCCCCTGGCCACGTCTGACCGAGTTTCTGAGACGTCTACCGAGGAAAAAAAGGAGAATTCCGCTGAGAAGGGACCTAAAAAGTCAGGGGAAACCTTTCAGGGCCTAATTGGGAAAGCAGCTGGGTGGCAGCAGCGTGGCCACGAGGACCCTTCCACGGGCTTCGGCATCGCACGCTGGACGAAGGAAGGGGCTGCCGGTGGAAGGGAAAGAGGAATATATCAAGGGGTCTCAGGAGCAAGAAGACCGCTTTCCTCCCCCTCACTTTCTGTGCTGTCAGTCCTGGGATCCACGCCCGAGCATGATCCCAGATCCAGGGATGGGGATGAAGCAGGGGAGCGTTCCTGACTTCTCCGACTAAGTTCATTATTATTATTTGGCCAAACCAGCTTCTGGGAAGCGGTCTAATTAAAAGCAGAAAGAAGTTCAAAGCGGCAGCTGGTACAAAGCCCAGCTCCATCACCTACTAGCTGTTTGGCCCCGCAAGCCCCTGGACCTTTTCTCTCTTTTCTCACGAATTTAAGACCTAGAGTTTTATGAAGCTATCTCTGTTTTTGTTTTGAAGTATAATTAATATACCATGTTATGTCAGTTTCAGGTTTACAACACAGTGATGCAACAGTTCTATTCAACACTCAGTGCTGCCCGTTGATACGTGTTGCCACCACCGACAGAATGGGACAACCGTCCAACGTTATTATAATATTATTGACTGCATTCCTTACGCTGTACCTTTCCTCTCCGTGACTTATTTATTGCATAACTGGAAGTCCGTACCTCTTAACCCCCTGTGTCCATTTTACCCCTCCCCCCACCCCCCTTCTCTCTTCATTTCCCAATATCTTCACCTATAAAATGATAATCGCAGCAGTACCTCCTTATAGGGTCTTGACGGCAAATAGGTTTACAAGGAACTTGAGGTATAATTTTAGTGTAACTTGGGGCTACAGGTTAATAAATTTGATTCCAAATATAGCCCATATTAGGCCCCTCAGTAAATATGATTTCAGTGAATTAAGATCAAATACCAAATTCTCCAGGAGAGAGAGCTGGAAATGAATGTTCACGACTGATAAATTACGTGCAGGGTGAGGTTTTACAAGGGAATGCTGAGTTGAAATGGCACTGTGTCTTAACTAGAGGGAGATCTTCAGAAAAGAAAAAAATACGTGATTCTGTGGGAATGACCTTGGCATCAACATACCTGAATTCTATTCCTGATTCTATTAATTGACTCTATTAAGTGTCAATTCTATTAATTGTCAATTCTATTAATTAATTATAAATCAATTAATTCTATTAATTGACTCTGTGGCATTGAAAAAAAAAACCTACTTCATACGCACGGTGTTTTTGTAAACTGAAGAAGCTGGACCAGATCATGTCTAAGGTTCACGTCTACTCAGCAGAAGATTCAGTCTCTGGTACTTCTGCAAGAAAAGAAATTTGCAAAAATAAATAAATAAATAAGTAAATTAATTAATTGAAAAATTAAAAATTTAGAAAGAAAGAAAGAAAGAAAGAAAGAAAGAAAGAAAGAAAGGAAGGAAGAAAGAAAGAAAAGAAAAGCTAATTTGCTGAAGTGAAGCAAGTCAAACGTGGTTTTAAGGGGCGGAGGGGAGATCTGTGTTTTTATGGAGAAATATGCCAAATTCTCACCAGGATAAAAGTCATCATCATTGTGGGTCATGATTATCATTATCATCATCATTATCGCTATCATGTTATTTACTGCTGGCCAGATGCTGCACTAGGTGTAGGTTATACACATCATTTATTCAACCCCCTCAGTATTTCTTAGCATCTCACCAGATCCATTCAAGAAAGAGAAATTTATGTTCCCCCCAAAAAAGAATGGGATAATCTCCAATTATGTGACTAAAACCTATCATTCATTAGTGGTCTCCCACACACCAGATGCTTCACATACCTCTTCTCTAATCCCCACAACAACTCTGTAAAGTAGGTGATGCAGGTTCTGGGTTATTGTTCCGTTCCTGGTAACAAGTCACCACAAACTTAGAGGCTTCAATGGACACATTTCCACGGATAAAGAGTCCAGCGTGGCTTAGCGTGTCCTCTGCCCGGGGCCTCACAAGGCTGCAGTCACGATGTCAGCTGGGCTGTGATCTCATCTCCTCTAAAGTTCCCTCTGGTGGTTACACTAGGTCCCTACCGTTTTGCTGACCTTCTATGAGGGCCGCTCTCTGGTATGCGGTCTGCTCCACAACAAGGCAGTCTGCTTCCTCAAGGTCATGAGGAAAATTCTCCTGACTTCTGTCTCTGACCTCTAGACCCTCTTTTCAAGAGTGTGCCTGATTAAGTCAGGCCCACCCAGGATAATCTCCCTTTTATTAACTCAACATTGACTGACTTGGTACCTTGATTACTTCAGCAAAATCCCCTCACCTTTGCCATACAATGTAAGCTAATCAGGGGCCAATATCCCACCATACTGAAAGATCCCACCACACTTGGGGGAGGGGATTATCCGGGACGTGCATCCCAGGGACAGGAATTTGGGGGGCCATCCTGGAACCTTGCAGCAAGTTCTGTCTTAGAAGTCATCAGGTGCATATCTAATGATGCATGAGTAATAAGGAGCAAAATTGGTCTCATAGTCAAGTGTAAGAGTCCTGAACCCGAGCCCCTTCTTACATATCACACCCCTGTTCTAACAGCAAACTTCACATCCCCAGAATAAACATGTTACTGAGGTCATCTGGGGTAGCTGCAGTTCATAAAAATACTTTATGACATGTAAAATTCACCATGATCAAATCAAGTTCATGATTCTCGCGGGAGCCCCTCTCAGCACACATGTCAATCAATTCCAGGCCAAGCCATCAAACCCAATTACCCGGAAACCAGCTGACACAAACTATTAGGAAAGCCATGCGAAGCAAGAGAACAGCCTGCCTCACTTTGAGGCTCTTCTCCCTCTCTGTCTCTTCTCCTCACCGCCTTTGCTCAGGTGTCACATCATTGCTCATGAAGCTTCTGCACTTGGCCAGACTCCCACCTCGTCTTGTCCTGATCTTCCCTTTTTTGACCCCCTGCCCCACACAGATGGAGCCCTCAAGACACGTCTGTTGGACTAAACTCTTCTTCTCGCCTCCTAATAAACATACTTCAGACTCTCTCGATTTTCTCCCCTACAATTTCAAGTGTTTCGGAGCATTGGAATTAACTGATGTTACCTGGGTGTGTCCGTATAGACAAGTGCCTTTCGTGCAATGGCCTTGTCCGCAGCCAAGCGCGTGGAATATGTGTCTCCACGTTGGCTCCAAGCTTCCCTCCTTTCCCTTCCTCCTAGAGAGCAGAGGCTGAGGAGCTAACACCTATTGAACACCTACTGAATACGGCATACAGCATTCGTGCAGTTATTTATTACCTTTTAGAGCTGTCGATGCCCAGGCTCAGAGAGGTTGAATAACTTGTCTGAGTTCATGCCGCTGACCATGGTGCAGCTCAGAGCTGAACCCAGGCCGTGTGATGGTGAAGCCACAGTCTTTCCATACTTCACTGCTGAGCTGGGGCTTGCCTCCTCAAGTTGAGCGTAGTCTCCCAAACTTCGAACGGTGTTTAGACAGGTCTGAATTTTAAAGGGGCCTCGAAGTGTTCAAATAAAACCTCATCTAGGGGCGCCTGGGTGGCTCAGTCGGTTAAGCGCCCGACTTCGGCTCAGGTCATGATCTCACAGTTCGTGGGTTCAAGCTCCACGTCGGGCTCTGTGCTGACAGCTCGGAGCCCGGAGCCCGCTTCAGATTCTGTGTCTCCCTCTCTCTTTGCCTCTCCCCTGCTCGCCCTCCGTCTCTCTGTCTCTCAAAAATGAATAAACATGTTTAAAAAATTAAAAGCAAAAAACCTCATCTTAACAGATACGCGTTTCTCAAACGCATAGGTGGCAACCTAACCGATTGATGCCGTGTGTGAAGACTCAGTATTTCTATAGAGTTTACCGTACGTTTCTGCTCCTTAGCACCTACGCAGGCCTGAGACCTATTAGTCCATCAGGAAATGTTTGGAGACAAAAGGCAGGAAGGGACGAGGAGATGGGCACTTGGGGTGTTTGGTGGGGTGGTGGATGCATGCTGCAGGCGAGCAGAGCTCGGCCCAGGACCAGCCTGTCAGCGGGCCCGGCTAACGCGGGACGCGAACGTTCTCACTGCTTTTGCGTGCTTCTACCGCCCCCTAGCCACCGTGGGGAGAAAGACCCGTCACCGGGAAAATCCGTCATTCCTCCAGCGCAGCCCTGGTGAATTACTCTCAGTCCCCTGAGTTGACGGTCTTCGCTGCAGTGTAACTTCCGTGCGTTTTGCTTTTTCATTAGCAGCTTCCTTTAGTAGCTAATATTTAAAAACGGTATCACCAAGGATTGGCATAGCTTGTCTTCTCCGCCCCGAAGAATGCGATTTGTCAGTTCTTTCAAAGCCCTTTGCCGGTGGGAACTGTGCCTTGTTTGTCTCTGAGTCCCCAACTCCACCATGAAGGCTCCTGGGCGTATGTCCGTACACGCCTTGGCTTTAGGGCCAGGTCAGATGCTGTCTCCCCCACGAAGCTCACACAGCAATAGCTTCTGCTAATTCCCCATTCACTATGTGCCAGAGGCCTTATGAGCATTATTTCATGTATTCTCGTGATGGCCCTATGAGGTAGTAGGATTACCCTTGTCTCACAGTTGGGGAGATGGAGGTAGGATGAGGGCACCCAGTTAGTCCTCAGCAGAGCTGAGATTCAAACCCAGCTGGCCTCCTCCCCAGGCCTAGGACATCATCTCAACACGTGCCCTTGGAGTCCCCCAGCCAAAGTGGTATCTCCATCCTCTGTCACCACCCCTGCCTGTCTCCTTCGTGTCATTTTTACCTCCCCTCCCTGTACGTTGTATTTCTTCTTTCTCTAAACCAGAAACTCAAACCCCATGAGGGACACTGTCCCCCCCCCCCCCATGTCATCGTTGTGCACACAGACTCTCATGTGTGATACTCAGGAAAGGCGTGTGTTCCTCCACATAACTTACGAAAGTGCAACTCCTTCAGTTACTACAAGGTTGTTAGTTCTAAACTTTATTTATTTATTTTGAGAGAGAGAGATGGCACAAGCAGAGAAAGGAGCAGAGAGAGAGAGAGAGAGAGAGACAGAGAGAGAGAGAATCCCAAGCAGGCCCTGCACTGTCAGCGTGGAGCTCGAACCCCTGAACCACAAAATCATGACCTGAGCCAAAACCAAGAGTTGGACGCTTAACCGACTGAGCCTCTCAGGTGCCCCACAGTTGTTAGTTCTGAGTTCAGGTTTCCCAAGGAGAGACCTGAGGATGTGTGGCTTCAGAATAACTCACAGACCTTTAGTCGGTTATCCGCATGCACATAGGCTCTTGGGAGGGAGTGTGACGAATAAGGTGTTGCAAAGTGGGATTTATAATTGAGAGGCAACAGAGGGGAAGGGAGAGCTGCAGACGGTCAGAAAGCAGGCCCATCTGGGAACAGTGAGGCTTGGTTTACATTTTTTAGTAAACTAATCAGCAGAGGGGAGAACAAAGAGGTCAGGCTGGGAGCCCTATGCTTCTAGAAGCATCCAAGAAAGCAATTCTCAAAACTCTTGGGAGTTGGACTGCAGTAAGTGACAGGCTGGCTGTGTGACATGTCCAGAGTCCTCCCCCCACCTCCCCCCTGCTTGCTTCCCTGATCAGATTCCTCTACAGGGAGGTGAGCACTGTCCGATCATCACTTGCCAGGACTGAACCAGATGGAAGGCGGGCCATTCTTCAGCGCAGGAAAGCAGCACAGGGTTCTGGAAGAAAGGATCCTGACCCATAGGTTATTTGAGGGAGTGTAGAATAAGGGGGTTGTGGGGGCGCCTGCGTGGCTCAATCAGTTAAGTGTCTGACTTTGGCTCAGGTCATGATCTCACAGTCTGTGGGTTCGAGCCCCGCATCGGACTCTGTGCTGACAGCTCAGAGCCTGGAGCCTGCTTCGGATTCTGTGTCTCCCTCATTCTCTGCCCCTCCCCCCCTTCTCTCTCTCTCTCTCTCTCTCTCTCTCTCTCTCTTTCTCTCAGAAATAAATAAAACATAAAAAAAAAGAGTAAGGGGGTTGTTCGAAAGCAGAATTTGGAGTAATGGGTAGCAAATTAAGAGTCGGTGGGAGAAAGAAAAAAAAAAACAGGTGCACACAGAGGTTGAGTTCACATTGAACAACCATGTGGGGGCGGATACGGGCCAATCTGCAGATGATGCTGCAGTCTCGAAGGCCATGCCATGCCAGGCACGAGCCCTTCACCCCTCGGACTCTGAGGAGGACCAGGGGGCCCTGGAGAGGTACCCAATGGGAAGTGGGCACTTCGGGGCTCGGGCATTGGCTGCTGACCAGTACAAGGAAATGCAGTCTTTTATCAACCACTGCTCTCATCATCTCATTGAATACCTGCACTGAGAATAGGGAAGAGGAAGAGAATTTGAATATCTGGGATCGTTAACGGACCCGGAAGCCAATGAAAAGGGAAATTAGCAGGTGCCTGGTGGAGCTGCCCTTCAGGTCAGATCAGGCTCCCTGTGGCCCCATCATGGTGGGTCTGGCAGCCCCTGTGGTCTTAGCTGTTGACCCTCCCCACCCCAGGGAGGTGGCCCTGGCAGGAGCCCCGGCCAGCTGGCTGAGTGGCAGCCCCATTCGCCAAGGCAGGGAAACCGGCTGGTCAGTTGGGCCAAAGCCCAGAGTGATGCTGATCTTGGCAGTCTCTCGTGCCCTCTCACCGCTGCCCACAGCCCACAGGTGGCTCTTCTCCACGTGCCAGAGTCAAAAACAAAATCCCTGCCAGCTGAGAAACAACAACAGAGCCATTTGCCTCTGGGCTTCTCGAAATGTGCAATTCAGATCACACCCCCCCTCCCTAGAATTTTTGTTTAGAAGATCCGGAATTTCTGACTTTCCAAGAAGGAGCCCAGCACCCACGCCTTTGTGGAAAATAACAGGAATAAACGTCCTCAGAGCCAGTCCCTCAATGTCTACAGGTTCCAAGAAGTTGCAAGACCATCATCACCGCCCTCCACGTTTGGCAACTGTTCCCACAGCATCCTGAGTACATTTTCGTGGCTGTTTCTAATTACTCCCTGCACTTGGGGAGTTCATTTGCATCACAGTTTTGCTTTGGGCCATCGAAAGCTATTTCCGTCTTCCCATATGTGTTTGGCTACCACTAATTGGGGAAAGTTATTTTTAGTATTTCCTTGTCTTTCCATCTTTGCAGATCTGCCCTATTTAGGGGGAAAAAAATCTAGAAAAGAGTAATTTTTCCCCCCTAAGGAATACCAGAGATGCTTTTAAAGTTCTACAAGTAAACTTTTCATGTTCAGTGTAGAAGTCAGTAAAGGGGAACAAGAATCCCAAATCCTGGATTTTATCCTCTACTATCTGTGCTGCCATAGAAAGAAAACGAAGGATTCTTTTCCTCCTTCAAGACCCAGGTTGGTGTCACCACCTCTGGTAGGTCCTATAGCTCCCCCATCCCACTCCTGCTTCAGGTCGACCCATGGTCCCCAGAATTCCACAACCCCACTAGAACTATACCTTGCTAGGCTTTTGTACATTTCAGATACTACTTTGCACCCCCGAAGACCTCTGTCAAATTAACATATCTTTTAAAAAACTAAACATGAAGGATTCAAAACTACTTCTACCTAATCTATACCAAAAGCACCTTCTTTTTATTAACTAGCAATTTGAAAAGCAGCTGCAGAATGATTTTAGCGCCTGAATTTAAAACAATCTCAGCACACAAATATTTGTTTATCGATACCAAAATTAAATGGTATTTTCTTATCCTTTGGTTTGGTATTTTGTTTCTAACTATCATTTATCAAAAATAATTTTAAAAAGCAGCTCTTGAAGCAATAGAAACATAAATCTTTGACTTATTTTGGTCAAGGTAGACCTGGTAGTGTCACTCAGAAACCGATTATATTGAAACAGTTTAATTTTTTCTGTTCTTCGTTACTCAGAGACTCATAATTAGGACTTCTTTCAAATTTGTGAGCAGAGAGCTTCATAAAAAAAAAAAAAAAAAAAAAAACGAATTTGAAAGTAATTAACTTACCACACACCTATTAGAATGGCTCAAGATCCAGGACACTGACAACGCCAGCTGCTGGCGGAGATGTGGAGCAACAGGAACTCTCGTTCATTGCTGGTGGGAATGCAAAATGGCACGGCCGCTTTGGAAAACGGTTTGGGATTTCTTACAGAACTAAACAGACTCTTACCATAGGATTCAGCAATAGCACTCCTTGGTGTTTACTCGAGGAGTTGAAAACGTATGTCCACACACAAACCTGCAGATGGATGTTTATAGCAACAGCATTCGTAATTATCAAACTTAGTCACTTTTTGCCCATTATCATGTTGCAAATACCTCTCCCAGTTTGCCTGCAAGTATATAGATACCTTTGTGCGGGGGGCATAGAGATGCAGTGCCTGTAACCCTTTCAAGGGAGGGCTTGTATCAGCTGTCAGAAGAGAATCCCCAGTTTCTTCTTGCCTCAGTTGCCAAGAGCTGACTTGCCCAAGAACATGCTCTTCCTGGCGGACCCATATCTGTTGACCTGTTGTGGTAGGAGACAAAGGTCCAGCTATTTCAGCCCGACATGGGACCACTCTGACAGGCCATTTCTGTTCCAGAGCCCTCCAGAGGATTCCCATTGTTGGCCTGCATTGTAAATTGATCTTTCCCTTGAAGAAACCCCTCTTCCTTCACCGCCTTCCTGCAGATCTTAATCTCCAAAAAATACCATGCACGTCAAACTCCATCTTGGCATCTGTTGCTAGAAAACCCAACCTATGACATCTTGGAAGTTAACTGTGTAATTAACAGCTGACAAGGTCACCTGGGTGGCTCATCAGTTAAGCATCTGACTCTTGATCTCAGCTCAGGTCTTAGTTCTCAGGGTTGTGAATTCAAGCCCCATGTTGGGCTCCATGCTGGATGTGAAGCCTACTTTTTAAAATGTTTTAAAAATTAAAAAAATTAGGGGCGCCTGGGTGGCGCAGTCGGTTAAGCGTCCGACTTCAGCCAGGTCACGATCTCGCGGTCCGGGAGTTCGAGCCCCGCGTCAGGCTCTGGGCTGATGGCTCGGAGCCTGGAGCCTGTTTCCGATTCTGTGTCTCCCTCTTTCTCTGCCCCTCCCCTGTTCATGCTCTGTCTCTCTCTGTCCCCCCAAAAATAAATAATAAAAATGTTGAAAAAATTAAAAAAAAATAATAATAATAAAAAAAATTTAAAAAATTAAGAGTTGACATAATATACACCTTTACATATAAATACACTATCCTGGAAAATAGTGTGTTTTTTTAATCATAGAAGAAACTGGTTCTTTTATAGAATGATTGTTGGCATGAAAGATTCAAAAGTTGAGCACCATACCTGAAACGAATATGACACAGTATGTTAACTATACTGGAATTTTTTTTTAAAGATCTTAATTCGCTGACATGAGAAAACTAGAGTGATACAGTTAGGACAGTGATTATATTGCTTTTCAAACATTGGCCCTTGTCAAGAAATCAGAATAGCATTTCATTTTTTAGTTTTAATGATCTCAAATAGGATAATAATACATTATGACTCGATTTGTAAGCCTACTTTTGGAAGGATATATAAATTATCTTTGTGGACTTGTGTAGGACCAAAATGTAATAAATGATGTAAGTCAATCTGGAAAACAAAACAGGTTGAGTACCAAAAACAAAACCAAAAAACACTTGAGTATCAAAAAACACAGCATTTTTCTAACAGCCATTATGCAAGTCTACCGTCTACATTACGTTCCTCCAAATAAAATCTATCCCTTTATTTGGGGTTATAGTCCTTATTATTCGCTGCCCCCTTTATCTTGCTTTATTTTTCATTATAGCATTTTATTTGAATATCATTAATGTCTATATCTACCTCCCCAGCACCTGGAATGGAACATGACATTCAATAAATATTGGCTGGAAAGGTAATTGGACAGATGAATAAATGAATTAGTGACTTAGGGCCAAAAGCAGATGAAACATATCTAGACCAATAATATATTTGGCCTCCCTCTTTAGGAAAATGAAGCATACAGGGTATTATCTTCCTTTATATAAAATTGCCCCAAATATTCATTGCACATGCGCAGATGTTTCCACTCTGGAAACCATTTTTCTTTGCTCCCTTCTTTCTCCCAGCCTCACCCCTTTGATGCAGGCTGTCCGATTGTCTAGCTTCAGGGGAGCTCACAAGAAGATTGTATTCAGGGGATCAGGAATGGTAACAGATGGCTGGATGCCCTCATTTTGCAGATGCCTCTGTATCTGTGCTGCTTAAAAGCATTTTAACTAGCATAGGGTGAGACATGTATTATCTTTGGTTGCAGCCCAAGTTTCTAGAATCCCAGATTAGTGCCCAGTGCCCTAAACCTCATAGCTGCTAATCCTCTGTGACAGCTCTTGTGCACCTGTTGACGTCAAGGGCTTTCAGACTTCAGTGAATTCTGCTTCATTATATCTTTTTTTTTAATTTTTTAATGTTTATTTATTATTGAGACAGAGAGACACAGAGCATGAGCAGGGAAGGGTCAGAGAAAGAGGGAGACACAGAATCCAAAGCAGGCTCCAGGCTCTGAGCTGTCAGCAGAGAGCCCGATGCAGGGCTCAAACTCACAAACCGCAAGATCATGACCTGAGCCAAAGTCGGACGCTTAACCGACTGAGCCACCCAGGCACCCCCCCCCCCCAACCATCTGTTTCATTATATCTTGTATGGGATTGGCTTTTCCCCAACATTAGCTCTTTGGCTAATGAGCTGGCTTGTATTTTTGTTAGACTATTTAAAGACAAGTGAATAAACTTGGAGAGGGTAAGGAAAGGTGATACAGGAGACCTGAGATTGAGCTAGGACTTTTGCCATCCACCCTAGTCATCAAAAACACTCATTAACCTTCTTATTGTTCTGTGACAGGATGATGGAGACACACAGGTGGAGTTAGAGATTCAGTCCAGGGGGAACAGTGGACTCTCCAATTCTTTTGTGGAAAGAGCTGACTGAAGAATATAAGAGAAGTGCACAGAACCTTATAAAAGCACAGTCTGTATTCATATTCAAGTTCACGTACAGCATTTTTGTTACTTCTGGCTATGATTAGAAGGACTTTAAGGCCATAATTTTCCGACAGCTTTCCATGAAAGGAATGGATGTTTGTTATGCTAAGTCTGTAAGCAGTAGAATCTTTCTTAGTTTCTGAAAGAACCTTTTCCAGTTTAAGTAATTTTCACAGGAGGAAATGTTGTCTTTTCCTTTTTTTTTTTTTTTCCTCTGAAGGAACTGATCAGAACAAACTGAGGAGACCCCAGATGTTGAAATCAACAGAACGTTAGGTTGCGTGGAATCAGATTTCTTAAAACACAGTCCTACCCGGGTTGCTGAACATGGGAGCTGGGAAATCCATTAGCTCTTGGCCTTTTTCCTATTTTTGTAATTATTGTTATCTCTTCCTCTATTGTGAAGTGTCTATTATGTAAATCCCATTGGGAGTGGCTTTTCCATCATGATCAGCTCCTGGCTGCTGTCAGTACTGAGTCCCCTGGAGACTTCACTGAGAGTCTACCCAGAAAAGAAAGGAAATGTGAGTTGGAGGTTTGTTAGCATGTGCAGTCTCATTGTAGCTATGCTTTGCCAAAACATTTCGGGATGCTTTTGACCTATGAAATCACCTCAGAGAAAATATGCAAGGTTTGGTGTATATTCCTTCCTTTTTTATGGAAACATGGCGGTCACGTTTTTATGGCCACAGGGGGAAGAAAGACTTTCTTCTAGTGGAATTATTTTTGTTGGGTTTGTAATTTTAAGGTCATTGATGGGGGCGTGGGGGGGGGAATCCATTTGCCCAAAGAAGGCGAGTAGAGCGAAGAACCTGATAGATCTTCTCAAAAAGAATTAGATCGAATGTAAAATTATAATCATGAAAAATGTGACCATTGATCCACTGATAATCTTTATAAGCTCAGATTTAAAATGTGTCAATTAGGAAACAGAGAAGTAGTACGGTATAAAATAGCGTAAGCTTTGAAATTAAAGGATTGTTACTGGCCATTAAAGGGAACTAGTGAAGAAGGGCCTTCCAGAATTACGATTTTTGGTCAATATAATGGACTAAGTGAACGTGGAAGAGATTCACCGCCCTCTCCCACCATCTTTCTCTAAAAATATGTAATCCCCTGGAGAATAGACTTAAATGGGTAGCCCACCCTACATGATTTAGGGAACTGGTCCAAAACTGGTCCAATATATAAAGGAAACCAAAGCCAGAGTGGTAATTAAGAGCAGAAGCAGCATGGCCTGGGGGTATCAGACCCACATGAATGTCTTATCAACTGGAAGTTGAAGTTTTAACACATTTACTGGGACAGGAGAGTTTGTTCCAAGACCATGGGGAAAGCACAGTCTTGAATAATGCCAGGAATCTCAAATTTTCATTTCTTTCATGAACTGATGAGTAGAAAAACTCCTCCTACTTGCTTTAAGAAGAAACAAGATTGCCACCTACTCTGGTCCTTGGGCCAAAAGAGCCGCCCACAATGTATGAAAATAGACGTGTGAGGTCTGAATTTATAATCTGGATATGGTAAGACAACCCTCATGCTAAGAAATTAATCTAAAAATTCTGAAGTGGGTGAAACCACCAGAAACACATAGAAGGGCCCTGTAAATCTCTTCTATAGAGACATTTCTTTACCCCTTGTGATGAACTGAAATATGGGCCCCCCCCCCCACAATTCATCTGCAGAAGCTCTAGCCCCTGGTGTGGTTAAAACTAAAGCCAGGGCCTTTAAAGAGTAATTAAGGTTCATGGGGCTCCTGGGTGGCTCAGTTTGTTAAGCACCTGACTGTTGGCCTTGGCTTAGGTCATGATCTCATGGTTCATGAGTTCGAGCTGTGCATCGGGCTCCATGACGATGGCACAGACCTTGCTTGGGATTCGCTCTCTCCCTCTCTCTCTGCCCCTCCCCTACTTGCATTCTCTCTCTCTCTCTCAAAATAAATAAATAAACATTTTTTAAAAATCTGTAACATTGGATGAAAATAGAAAAGAGAGGCTAAAATACATAAAGGACAAAATGAAAAATCCCAAAATATCTCTGGTAAAAACTACAAAAGAAATCAACAGAAAAAAATAGAGGGGTTGGAGGTATTTGAAAAGTTAAAGGCTGAAAACTCCCTGAATTAAAAAAGGAATCTGTCTTTGGATTAGAGGAACATATCAGGGGTTGCCTACGTGACTCATTTGGTTGAGCCGCTGACTCTTGATGTTGGCTCAGGTCATGATTGCAGGGTCGTGGAATCAAGCTGTATCGTGGAGCTCTGCACTCAGCATGGAGCCTCCTTAAGATTCTCTCCCTCCCTCTGCCCCTTCCCCTGCTCGCACTTTCTCTCTCTCTTTCAAAAAAAAAAAAATAGTAATACCAATAATAAAAAATAAAGAAAGAAACATATCAGGACACAAACAGGAAAAATAAAAACATAATCCCAACTAAACATATTGTAACGAAATAGCAAATCATCAAAAACAAAGAAAAAAAA